TGTTACTAGAGTAGCGAGATGCGTTTGTTACTAGAGTAGCGAGATGCACTTGTTACTAATTAGTCCAGTCTCCACGGTGAATTTTCATGCGTTTTCAATCGCGATCGAAGGCGACCACCGGGCCTCTTGGACGGAAGCGCCATGGTGGAGCCGTCGGGAAGAGTCTTCAGATGTTGCGGGGCCAACGAGACGATCCCGGTTAAAGGGCAGACATGGCCGTTCAATGTTTGTTTGAATTAAAGTTGTTGGGAGAAGTGTTCAAAACAAAAGAATTCCAAAACATATACCCTGGGAATCCAAGACTATTTTTTAAAACGGTCTTATCGGTGATCCGAAAAGGAAGTTCCTTTACTTGGGTGGTGCCAAAAATGGTCTTTGGACTTCTAGTGTATAGCTCTTGCTTCGATTGCTTGTCCTTATGGACCTCACCTAGAAAACCTCCATGCCTTACCCAAAGAGTGTCACTCACCGGGGGGTTTGCAAGCTGTTTGCAGCCTCATGGCACTCTCACACCGTTGGCCGGGTGTGGGGCGCAGCTCGCTGAGGAGTTGCCACGGAGTGGTGGAAAATATGGGAGCAGGTCCGTTGGGAAATACCTGCGAAGACCCCATACGCCACCCATCACAACTCAGGGCGTTTGAGGCCAACCTGCCATGGTGATCGGCAGATGACAGTGAGACGATGAGCTAAAGTGCTCACTGGCGCCCTTTGCTTTACCTAACTAGCTGAGCTAACTCTGAATTCAGATAGGAAAGGTTTACAACTCTAAGCTGCAGGAGGGGAGGCCAACCGAGATCCTCAAGTGCTCTTTGAGCCAAATCGAGGAATCTTGCTGTGCGCGGTTCATGCTCAATTTGCCGTGCGCGGTTTCCAATCGTAGATCCTTGCTTGGATCCCTGTCCGTTGCGCAAGCCGGTGGAGCCCAGCAACCTGCAGTGCGGCAAACTGTACAAAGTGAGTGATGCACTGCCTCGGAATGCTGGACCAGAGCATGTTCAAACCTAGAGGCCAAGCTCCTCCCACCTGCGGACCAGGTCGTTGCGGACCCGTACCCTTTGGGGACCTTGGTCAGTGCCTGCATGTGCCTGCTGTTACCACTCCTACTGCTACTCCTACTCCTCTTCCTTCTATAGTACTATTGCTGCGAATTGCTGCTGCTGCTGCTTTTGCTTTGCAAAGTACTAGCTTCACTGCTAGGGGTATAGGGACGCCCCAAGAATTTGCAGTGGTTTCATGAACATGGGATGGCCAACTGTCTGTGTTTCGAGGAACTTTTTCGGTGTGGGTTGGATGGTGGATCTACTTTGCCTACCGCATCTTAGCTGCAATGTGTCATGCGCTTGTCAAGCCCACAAACCACTGGAGGAAGGTAGTCTTCCAACAAATCCTGGTGACCTTTGGGTGTGCTTCTTGTGGCGTTGGGGATTAAGTCACAATAAGTACGTGTTTGGAGATTCCAGGATTTGCGAATTGGACTTTCACAATTACTTTAGACTTTGGATCGCAAGATAATGCTCCACCTTGTGATGGGTCTTTCATGACGATTTACTTGCTTTGTGTGAGCCGAAGAATCGAAGTATAGACATAGACAGTATAGATTTATAATAGGTAGATTCACCCACTAACCTCGAAGAGCCGTGAATCCACTTCTTCCATCCCTCCACCCGGAAGGAATCGAGTTCATTGAAATTGGTTGTACGGGTTGACCATGGTTGGCCCCTCAAATTTTGGATTTCCTTCACAAGAATCAGCACAGCACTCCTGTTTCAGATAATGTGTAATATTATATAATATATATATGTAACACGAGGTATGTTGTTTGAGCCAAAAAATTGAAGACCTGATGTTTTTCTGGTAAAAACAGACCGTCATGGAGATCAGGTGATTCTGTGGCTTGACTAGAACTTTCTGTGTCGGGACACCGAAGAGTGATAAGAGCGCATCTCGGGTGGGGTGCGGTGCCGGCACAGGTACTACACCAGCTCCTTCAACCGAACGGCCACTGCATCACGAGATCGAAGCTGTGGCAGGTCGGACGGGTGAAGACCGGAGACGAACGAAGACAGGACGCGCTGACGGAATTTTGGGTCGGGTTGGGAAGGCGCGGTGGGAGAGGACCGGACTTTCGGCCAGTTTGCATGGGGTACCTTTTCATTGCTCGAAGTAGGATGTAGACTCGTGACAATATTTCATTTACAATCCATGTTTGGGGAGCTTTTGTTTATTATAAGATGATGGAATTTCAAGAGTCTATACATTATATGCAGCTTAGACCTGGAAGGTTGGAAGGCCGAGTGAACACTGCGGGTTACTGCGCTTCAGAGGCAGTGAAAGGAGGACTTGCATTCTTCACCAATCCATCTGGAATTTCAGGGGCGCCACATTGATGTTCCCTTCTCAACTTGAATGACGAGCATCACACTCGGTTTGCCATTCCACCACTATGGGTTTGTTTGGGCTTTTCGCCTCTCACATTAGCATCGGCGCTCCTCGGTATGTTGGGCGCTGCCAGGCTTTGCTGCTGCTTGCCCTTGGTCCAATGCGCCCCTCAGCGGAGCTTGCCGTCCTGAACTCGACCGCTGCACGGCTGCGCACGATTCCCGAGGTCGTCATACTCGTGGTCTGTGGCATCGCCTTGGGCGCAGGGAGGCCCAGGAGGTTGGAAGACTTTTCTGATCTTTTCTGACTGAAAGAAAAAAGAGAACAAAGAAATGCTACTAGGAGCTCCTGGCCTTACTACTAGGAACAAAGAACGCTACTAGGGGCTCCT